GGGTACGTATGCGGGTCAGACAGGACTGGCCTGCATGTGGTATTGTATACGGGATTCAGAACTGACATCGTCTGGGCCGGATTGATACGCCGGATGAGGCTATTCGCGTAAAAGAGGCCAGACGAGAGGAACCCAGATGCGATCGGCCACAGTACGCTTCGAGCCCAGCCGAGGAGTGGGGAAGGGAGGTACGACCAAATTACTAGTCGACGGCGAATACTGAGGGTTCCACCGTGAACGTCGACAGACCTCATGAGGTCGGAATGCAGGAGATGACATCAAAAACCGCGAAATGTTTCGCAATGGGGGAGGAGTGATAGCAGTGGATTTGGAAAACAATACAAAACAGGGCTTCTAATGATATAATTGAGGGCTACCACTTGATCTACCAATAAATCCCAGGAGGACCCTTCTCGAAGTCAAGAATCTGAGTGTTCGAGAATGAGACAGTTAACAGTGCCTTTATACTTTCCGGTGTAAGATGTTTGCGTAATTTCGACATGAATACCAGCAACTTAGGCGATGATCTAATTGCAGGCGGAAGATTATTTCAAAGGAAAGCATATTTGGAAGCAGAGAAGAGGGAGCGCTTAGATGAAGTGCGAGGAGGCGGCGGAATCACCATGCAGGAGTTGCGCGTGGCATAAGACCGATCTCTCGGAGTAAGAGTGTCAATGAGCGGAAGATTGGAGCTAAAGTGTATGCAAAAAAGGAAGCAAAGGCCAGCTACGAGTCTTCTAACCCACAAAAACTTAATATTCGCCAGCTGACATCCCTGAGTTTAAGAAATACTGGACGAAGCTGGAGAGAACAGTTTCCGGGTGAAAACCCTCTGAACATTTTCGATTTTATTACGGTCGCAGGCGTTCATTAAACCGAAAAAAGGACAGCAGTATTCGAGGACTGGAAGAACAAACATTTGATAAAGTCTTAGCTTCATTTCCGGAAGGGAAAAAATATGCGATATGAATTCACATATCTGCGCGGCTTTGGCAGAGATTCTATCTGCATGAGGTGATAAAGCAAGTTTATTTGTATAACTTAGACCTAGGTCCTTTATGGTGAGGCATTCTGAGAGTGGGTTATTCTGAAAAATTATGGGACCAGGAAGTTTGGTAGGACCAAAAGACATGAAACTACACTTGGATGATGAAAACTCCATCTGCCATGTTGAACCCCGTCTGCTTAAGCGTAGTAAATCGGCATCAATTTTTTCAACACAAACATTTGCGGTGTCCTTAGAATATGAGTAAACACATTCGAGGTCATCATTGATGTACCGAAGGAAGAGTAGCGCACCCAGAAACGTACCCTGCAGTACGCGACTCGTGACTGAGTGAGGTGTCGAGTAGCTATTACCGACCATGACTTTCTGATATCGGTTGAACAGATAGGCCCTGATGAAGTCGGGTAGAGGCGGCCGGATTCCGAGAGCTTCCAATTTTACTAAAAGACGTCTATGGGGCAACTTATAAAGGAGTTTGCTAAGATCAAAGTAGATAACTACTACTGACTGCTGCTCAATACGAAGAGAAGTGATTAGATTAAGAAAAGCCAAGTGGCAAGTTTTGCAGGATCGTTCAGGTAAAAATCCATGTTGGCGAGAGCTCAGAAGCCGATTAGCTTGACAGAAGTCAAGAATTTCATCGAAAATTATTCTTTCAAAAAGCTTTGCTAGAGACGGCGTTTTGTGCACGCCCCGCTAGTTATTAACATCGGACCGAGATCCTGACTTGAAGACGGGAATGATAATTGACATTTTCCATGTTTCAGGAAAGAATACTTTTGAAATATAAACCGAGAATAAATGAGTAAGCAATGTGGGAAGGTCGGACGCTTGTTTAATAATCGAATTCAGAATCCCGTCCGTACCAGAGCAGTGTGAGTATTTCAAACGACTTATGAGTTTCTTAATGAGATCTGAGGAGACATCGATTGTACTCAGTGTCCTATCTGAAAGTGAGCGAAAAAAGGGACCGATTTGGATTAATTTTTTAGGTGTTTTGCAAAGAAAGCACTAAACAACTCCGCCTTGTCAGTGTCATCGGTGAGGAAGACTTTGTTATCACTTAGCAGGGGTGGAAGTTCGTGACCACGCTTAGAGGAGGACCGATGACGGAAGATGTTAGCGACGGATTTGCCAGGGTTCGAACCACTGAGAGAAATTGATTCTATTTGCCTGTCGCGCGCTTGGCGCATCCTTGAGGCCATCTCAAATATCTCTGTGATTCTAAGATGAACTGATAAGGAACTAGTGGATGGGTCACGCAGCTGCCGTCTCAACTATTTTAGTCTGTTGTAAAGAAAATGAGGAACAAGGGAATCTAAAGAAGTAGGCTCGAGATATCTACGCGGCACAAACTCTAGAATGTCCTTGAAAACATTGGACATGACATCACGAAGAATGCTTGCATTGCTACAGGACAGGAAGCTACACCAATCCCAAGATCTAATATAGTTATTTATTAAGTCGTTATCTACGCAGTAGTAGTTTATGTAAGTCCGAAGGACGCTGGTCTTTTTTGAAAAGGCAAGCGGTAAGCAACAATGCATTAATAAGTGGTCACTGTCAAAGAGGTCTTTTT